GTGTTTTTTAAAAAAATTCAAAAAAAATCGGAAAAATAAAATTTTGTGAAACCCGAATGCAACAGTATTGAAATTCTTCAAAAAAACCTGGAAGTTGTTTTGCATTATAATTATTATGGAGAATAATTTTTTTTTTTTTCGGTTTGAATTGATGAGAAACAATAAAACTAGGGCAGGATAATATTTAAATATTAAAACTAATAATTAATTAATAAAAATAATAAAATAATAAGAGTAAATTAGCACCATTAAATTAAGGTTAAAAAATAATTTAAAATTAATTAATAATTTGTAAGCACTGTAAGAAGCTATAATTTTTTTTTTATATATAATTGAATTCTCAAAATCAGTTTTATTTAGAAGATCAAAATTTATTTATTTTAGAGATTTTTAATCAAACTTAAGATAATTTTAAGAGAGATAAACACATTTAGATAATCATTCACAGCTAGATAAGATAAATTCATTTCGATAATTAATCACACTTAAATATAAAAATATTTGTGGTGACTTCATGTGTTATGTCTAATAAATTAGTTCTTAGACTTACACGATATGACAATTATTATTAAAGTTTTTATTTAAGGGATTTTAATATTATTCATATATATTATTAAAATTATACTAATAATATTTTATGAATATTAAAATAATAATAATTTATGAATATTAAAATAATAATATTCATATTAATAAAATAAAATATTATTTTATAATACTATTTAATATTGACATATTTAAAATATTTATATTAAATAATATAAAAATTATACATATTTAAAATTAAAATATCGAAACTTTTAATATTTTAAATTTTAAATTAAAATTAAATAAAATATTTTTATTAATATAATAATATTTTAAGTTGGGTCTAATCAAGCTTGAACTTAAAATGTTGTGTCTAAAACCTGGCTTGAATAGAATTATAAAACATTTAAAATTTAAAATATTAGAAGATTTTTAATAATAATATTTTAAAATTTTAAGTAAAATTAAATAAAAATATTTTCATCAATATAATATTATTTTGAGTCCGTTCAAATTTGATTTTAATTTTGTTTGATTTATTAGAAAATTTCGATTTTGATTTTGTTTAATCCATTAGAAAATAGACTCAAAGAACTTTCCAATCATATAAAATTTAGATATTAAAATTTTGTGAATTAATATAAAAAAAAAAAAAAGTTTAATGTTGAAAAACTTTGTTATTGTAAAACAATTTTTTTAAATTAATTTATTTCTCAAAATCAATATTATCAAAATTATATTGAGTCTAAAATGAATAAGTTTACTTTAAAAATAACAATTAAACTTTAATTTAAGCTCGAATAAATAATATTTAAAGATAATTTTGATTTGAAAAATAAAAAAACATAAAGAAATATTTATTTAAACTTTGAAAATCATATTATTTATTTAGTATTAAAATAATATTACTTAAAAACTTGTATTGAATAATTTTTTTTAAATATTGATCAAACTTATTTATTTTAATGTTTGTCACTTCCAAATAAGAATTAATTCAAAATTAACACATATTTTCTCTTTAAAAATTTATTCTCTTTCTCTAAAATCAAACTAATTATCTTTCTAACTAAACTAAACCTCTTAAGTATTCTCCAATTTCTCTTTACCAGCTTTAAATTTAAGAACAAAACTCAAAAATCAATTAAAAAACTACCATGTGTTTTGCCATTGATCATCGTCCTTGGCCTCTTTCCTCCTCCATGTGGCATCGTTCCTCTATTTCCTTATTTGCCCAATACCCAATAAAAGCTCAATATTTGATAAAAGTTATTGCTACTTTCTTCTTTATTTGAACACTTCAAGACACATATCAAAACTCAAAACCTTTCAAGTCATCCACCGTTCAAGAACTCAAAAATAATATTTTTTATTCTATTTCAAAACCCTAAAGAGCCTTACAATAAAAAAATATTGAAAACTCTTATAATGAAAACCTTTTATTTTGTTTTTGATTTTTCTATGGGTATTATGCTGCTAATTTATATGTCTATGATTGCTTGTTGATAAATGATTGTTGATTTCACACTACCAAATGGTTTTTTCTAGGTCTGATTAATTGTTGATTATGAAATCATTGATTGTTGATCTATGTTGAAGCATTGTAGGTGGATTCTTTGTGGTTTGTTTTGTGGATTTTGGCTTTTAATTGTTTGCTTTTTTTTTTTTTTTTTTGATTTGGATGAGTATTGGCTGCTGAATTGCATGAGATTACTCACTGTCCAAATTTCTTCTCTTTTTATTCTATAATTGTTTGTGTTTTGCCCATGTTTGCTCAATTATTTAAACTTTATTGAATTAAAAATACTGTTTGCTAGGAATGATTTTGATTGAGTTTCTAGATTAATAAATTTATTATCTCTCTCTAAAAGTAAACTAATTATCTAAAATCAAACCAAACTAAATCATACTGTCAGAGAGAATTCATTTGGTTTTAGAGGGAGAATAAATTTTTAAAAAAAGAATATAAATTGAGATGAAAAGAAAAGCAAATAAAACGAAATAAAAAATGATTAAATAAGTTTTATAATAATTAAATATCATATTTTAAATCTTAAAAATATTTTTATTTCAACCTTGATCATAATATATATTTATAAAATTTATTAAAAGAATTAATATGATTATTTTAAAATAATTTTTTAATAAATATTTATGTATTTTATTTATTTATTTATTTATTAAGGGCTCTACCTACTATCATATTATCGCAATAAAGGAGATATTAACGTTACAAGGCTGATGCGTAATTGTGAAACGGGGGTCGGTCTCAGTGGGCATGTGACAATTGACGCTATAAAGGAGATATTGCCGCTATAAAGGAGATATTGACGTTACAGGGCTGATGCAGAATTGTGAAACGGGGGTCGGTCTCGGTGGGCATGTGACAATTGCATGTGCATTTAAAAAAGAAAAGATCGTTGACGGTGAACCCACAGTTATACTTGCCATCTGTCTGCAACTTGCTGGGAAAACTCTGAATTTTGGCTTGTTTGCAACATTAAAAGAATCTCAGGTCAACATTTTCTTTTTTGGTAAGGAATCTTAGGTCAACATTAATTATTATTGGTTGTTTGCTTTTACGTGGCTTGTCTGATTGTTTGCAGTTTATTGGCCGGCCTAGCAGCAAATGGATAAAAATGTTGAGAGTTTTAAGCGCAAGTACTTGATACAATAAAAAAAATAAATTTTATCGAAAAATTTCAGTTTTAGCATAATTTAATATAAATTAATTAATTAAAAAAACAATTTAAATAATTATTATAATTTATTAACACTATTAACATAATTTAAATAATTATAAAATTATTCCTTAAATCTAAATTTATTATATTTAAACATAGTATTTTTTATTTTATATTTTATTAGAATATAATAACAAAAATTATTTTTCTTCAAATATTATAACTTTTAAGTTAATTTTAGTTATTATAAATAATTTTAATTTAAAATTAATAAATATATCATCATTATAAATTTAAATTTAATATATTTATAAATATTATAATAAATAAAATTCAATTGACAAATCCCATTGACATCATTCTCTTTTTTTTTTCGAACAAAATTTTTTTTCATATTACATTTTTTATTTTTTATTATTATATGTCAAAATATGCTTAATATATTTATTTTGTTACGTGTGTATATATATATATATATACTTATAATTATAGGTCTTTTTTATATATATATATATGTTGTATCTAAAATTTTTTTAATTATTAATAGTTTTCGTATATTTTAAAAAATAAAAATAATTTATTATAATAAAATATTATTTCATATGAATAATTGAATATGTTAATTTTTAGATTTAAAATGATTTTTAACTGAGTTTTTTTTTTTTTTTTTAATCTAAATAACTAAGGGATAAATAACTAAAAGACCTACTGGTTCAGCAAAATTAACAAATTTGAGGCGAGATTAATGTACTAGTATTGAATTATACTGAATAAAAAAAACAAGTAAACTGTAGGAACAACTCCCGATACTGCGGCTATGATCGTGTGAATCCGACATTCAAACCGAATTAGACAGACAGAGAGACACAGAGCCAGGACTTGACATGCAGGAGGAACCGAGTCGTCCGATGATCATAGTAGTGAGAGGAAAACCGAGCTCACGCCCTGGAAGAAGCAAAGTAGCCACCCAACTAGCCAATTACCTGAAGTACCCCCTCTTTGACCAAGATGATCTCGCCCCAGTTCTTCAGGACTCCCTTCCATCCTCTTCTCTCCAACCCCTGCAGTCTGCATCCCAAAACAACCTTAGCGACTCGTCTTTCAAAATTTTGCAACAGATTGCTTCAGTTCAGCTCAGTACTTCGAAGCTCAGGGTTATCATCAACTCGCCCCTCACTAATCACTCCCATCTCGATCAATTGAAGCAGCTGGCAAATTCTCAAGGCGCTGAGTTGATGTTGATTCATTGTCAACCCCCGGATGAGATCGATGATTATGATGTAGGACAGCGAGGTCGTAAGATCACGGTTGACACCAACGAGTTTCGTGTGGAAGAATTTGTTTCTCAACATCTACGTGTACGTCCTTCTTTACCTCAACCGGTAGCCTTCCAACCAAAGATTGAGAATGTCAATATCCCAAAAGGTAACCTCGTGAAAACTCCATCTCTAAGAACTGCCAAAAGAGTAACAGAAAGAACACATCACCGACACTTGCACGCGTTGATCTATAAGCCAAAGAATGAAGGTAGAGCATTCAACTGCAAATGCTGTCAAAAAGAAATTTCAGGTCCCTTTTATCAATGTCTTGATTGTGATGAGTACATCTTTGATAAAGCCTGCGCTGAATCTCCTGATTTAGATCGTGTTCGGCAAAACTGCCCTGATTATCTTAAAGCAAGGGAACCCAAGGAGTATCGATTTTCAGAGAGATATAAGTGCAACATATGTGAAGAAAAGAAAGGCTTCTCCCCTGATTGTCACGATTGCCTCTTTCAAACCAACATGAAAGGTAAATTCCTGCCAATTGTTGTTAACCATGAATCGCACGCACATCCCCTTAATCTTATTATCATGCCTCCTTCTCTTAACTATGAGTTTGGATGTTGTGGCTGCGGTGAATTTGGCAAGTCCATTAGCTACAGATGCTATGATTGCAACTTCAATTTGCACGTCGGTTGCGTTTCATTACCACGCACTGCTTCTAGTAAACACGATAAGCATACTCTTAGACTTACCTACGATGCTCTTGACCATAATTACTGGGACAAAAGTTACTGTGTAGTTTGTAAAAAGGAAAGAAACCCAGAGCAATGGTTTTACTTTTGTCCAATATGCGACACCGTAACTCACATCGGTTGTGCCCGTGCGACAGATTAGTCAATTGCATGATCCATCGCAGTGCAAGGTGGTTTCTCGGATTGCTCTTTCAATCATTTTGGAGCTTGGAACCGTGCATGATCATTGCAAATTAGTACTATATATGAGTGTTTAACTAGCTGATTGCTTAATTTCTTTGTTTTGTGGAATCAAATTCATAGAAGAGCTTTGTATAAGCCTTAAGTAATCTCTTTAATATTTCTAACGCTTTTCGATTATGAATCATGTGGATTTTTCCATTGATTACCAATTTAAATCCTTGTCATAAAAGTGATAAATTCCATGGCGGAGCCATGTTGAAGACCAAGAGCACCAAGATCTTTTAAATTTTTTTCAGTAACAGTTTGTTCGTGAGATAATATCATACATAAATCATGATAAATGAAGTTTTTTATTATTCATTTTTTATTTTAATTTGTTCACCCATTTAACATTCGTGCTCCATCCATCTCAGTTCCAACCTTTTAATTTTTGAAATATTATTTTTGCTCTTAAATTTTAATTTATTCATAAAAATAAAAAAATAAAAAATTACAATTTATTTTAAAAAAGTTTCATTTTTTTGCTTTACTAACCAAACGAATCCAACAAACTATTTTATATTTAAAGCGAATATAATAAGATCTTGATCTGAACCAATCGGATTTTTACCGTCCAAATGGATTTGATTTTCGATTTCCTGGAGCCTTATGTCTAAGGAGATGCTGGCCTCTATGAAAAGGTTGCTTGTACGTGAATAAAAAACTTGCTTTATTCTAAGAACATTGGTTTACTTTATTCTAATAACATTGGTTTATTTTATTTATAAAATATTATCAATCAATACGTAAATAATAAAAAAAATATTAATTAATAATATTTTATAAATAAAATAAATAAATAATTAAAATATTTATTTTTTTATTACTAAAAATATCATTTATCATTTTAAATATTTATTAATAATAAAATAAAATAAAAAAATTTCATATATATAAAAAATATTATGATAATTACATAAAAATTAATATATATTAATTCTTTCAAATCAAATAAATGAATTTAAACTAATAAAAATATCTAAAATATCATAATTCTCAAAAATAACATTTTTATTTTAAATTCAAAATTTTGACAACCAAACACGCCCTAAATATTAATCGATCGAGGTTTTTTAAAATGCTCTACTCTTTTATTTCTTTGTTTTTGTCAGGATTTCTTACTTTTCAAAGACTTTGTTAAAGTTCAGATAAATAAAAAAAAGACCTTGACTTTATGGCAGTCTGTCACACACTTACACTGCCAATCAAATCGAGGCTTCTACATGACCACAACTGTTTAAAATACACATTTTGCCCTTCTCCTATTTACTTTTTTTTTTTATAAAAAATAAAATTATCAATTTAATACTTTACTTTCATTCTTTTTCTCTATTTTAATTTGTTAAATTAACGTTGTTACTGTAAGTTAACTAATTAATACATATAAAAAAATTAATCAACATTACATCATTAATTACAATGTTAATATTAAAAAATAATTTCAAAAAAGAATTTAAAATAATTCTAAAATTAAAAAATCTAAAAATTTAAAAAATTTTAAAAAAATTCTTAAATAATTTAATAAATTATAATAAATTACAAAAAATCTAAAATATTATTTAAAATTATAAACAATTAAAAGATTATGAGAAATTCAAAAAAAAATCTAAAAAATTTAACAAAATTCACACTTAAATATGTTGTATTTTGCCATAATTGAAGTATACTGCTTTGTACAATTAGAAATGAAACAAAATTAACAACTTTAATATTATCCTATTATATTTTAATAGGTAACATAAATAGTAAAATAATTTATTATATTAAATTTCATAAATTTTTGTGATCAACTCATTATAAATTCACAATAATAATGAGCCATAAAAAATGACCAAAATATTATATTTTGTTTGTTTTGTAAAAATTGGTTTTTAGAAAATATTTTTAGGAAATTGTTTCCATTTATAGAGATATTCTATTATTTAGATGAGTTAATAAAAAATATTTTTTATTTTTTGTTATTTTCTAAAAATTTTATTTTTAAATAATATTGACATAACTATTTAAATATTAAAATTTATTTTCTATTAAAATATAACTAAATTGCTTATTATATAAAATATTTTTATTAAAAAGTTATATTTTAATTATAATATTTAATATTAAAAATATTGTATTAATATTAAACAATTTCAAAAAGTATTTATTATTTATATAAATATTTTTAAATATTTACAATGGTATTTGTATTCTTTAAATATTATTTTATTAATATAATAATATTAAAAATAGTAATATTTATTATTAAAATAGTAAAAATATTATACTATTAAAATAGTTATATTTTAAATTAAAAGTATCTATTATTAAATTATAATAAAAATATCGTTTATTTATAGTTATTATTAAAACAGTAATATAAGGACATTAGTCAATAAAATATTAAAATAATATATTTTAAATAAAAAAATTAAGTAAAGATTTAAAATATTCATTTTATTAAAATAATATTATTATATTAAATAAATTTAATTATCACAATAATAAAATATATTATTTATAGTACTAAAAATTATTATTAAAATTTTATTAATGGAGGGAGTGATGGTGATAAAAAGGAAAGTGAATTGGATTTTTTTTAAATTCTTCAAAAATAATTATTTAATATAATTGAATAAAAAGTTAATTTTAAAATTAAAATATAATACAAATAATAATAATTTGATGATCTTAAAGAAAATGTAAAGAAAAGAGATAGGGACAGAAAAATAAAAAAATTAAAAAAAATTTAAATTTTTTCAAAACTTCTTAAATAATTTAAAAATTATAATAAATTACAAAAATATAAAATATTATTTAAAATAATAAAAAAGTTTATTATATTAAATTTCATAAATATATGTGATCAACTCGTTATAAATTCATAATGGTAATGAGTCATAAAAAATGAAGACCAAAATATTGTATTTTTTCCTTTACTAACCTAACGAATCCAATAAACTATCTTATATTTAAACCGAATATAATAATAATTTGATGTGAACCAATCCGATATTCCCGTCCAAATGGGTTTGATTTTCGATTTCCTGGAGCCTTCTGTTTAAGGAGATGCTGGCCTTTATGAAAAGGTTGCTGTACGTGAATGAAAAAAATTTCTTTATTCTAAGAACATTGGTTTACTTTATTCTAATAACATTGGTTTGAATTTGTTTCAAAATTAAAAGTGAGGTTTGCTCAACCAATTGATTTATCTTGGCTCGAGAGAATGTATGAGTTTATGTTTGATATATTATTATGCATAAGTTTATACTTACTTTATTAATGAATTTTTTTAACTTGAGTCTAATATTTAGATTAGTTTATATTTAATGTATTATGAGTTTATATATTATGTATTATTAATATATGTTATATATTATTAGTTTATTATATTATAATATTTTATTTAAAATTTGATTTAAAAATTTAAAAAATAAATATATTTAATTTTAAAAATGTAATTAAAATTATTTTTTAATAATATATCATTAAATAGTTTACTGATAGTACATAACATTAGCTGTACATTAAATATAAAACCTTTAATATATAATTCACTTTTTTGTAGACTTGGTCCAGTTGACTTGGAAAATGCCAACAATGAATCAATGACTATGGCTTATACTCCATGTATGGGGTTTGTAGTTAAAACAGAGCAACTCAAAACTCAAAAGTAAAGCTGTTCCGAACTAACAACACAATTGCAGGTGGGGTTCTCAGAAGCAATATTTCCGATGATTCCTACAGGTAAACTACTATCTGCTTTCTGCTTCTTCTTTTATGTGGATAATAATGCGGCCATGGAGTAGCATGTTTGCCTGTACATATATTTGGTTTCCCTTTCCTTTTTCTGCCCCTTAAAAGTAAAAACTATTGTTAGAAAATTTCATTGCTTTGTATTTCCAGTTCCGTTACTACTCAGTTGTTTAAAGAAGTTTGTAATCAGTTAGTATTTTCCATGTCTATAAATTTCAGTTGTTAGTGGGTTAATTTTGATGAAGAAGAGGAAGATGATGGAGGTATTTCCTCCATTTGTAAGGAAGTTATGGAAGGAATGGGAGCTGCGAGCAATGGCGATCGTCAGCCTCCTGGTTCAAATAGTCCTCATCGTCTTGGGGAAGCGTAGAAGACACATCCCTGATAGATGGATTAGAGCCGTTGTTTGGTCTGCTTACTTGCTGGCTGACTCCGTAGCAACTATTGCCCTTGGCATACTATCAAATGATCTAGGTGATATATATAATGATGGTGGTAAACTTGAAAGAGATAATGAACTTACTGCCTTATGGGCACCCTTTTTCCTGCTGCATTTGGGTGGCCCTGATACAATCACTGCCTACTCCTTAGAAGACAATGAGTTATATTTAAGGCACCTTTTCGGACTACTCGTCCAGACAATAGTTACATTCTACATTGTCTTATTGGCTTGGACTGGTTCCCGTCTATCATATCTGGATATTCCAATGATTGTGGTTGGATCCATCAAGTATGGAGAGAGGACATGGGCCCTTTGGAAAGCTAGCAGTGATGAACTTCAAGATTCAATGCTCTCTTCTCCAGACCATGGTCCTAATTATGCGGAGTTGATGGATGAATACAGCTTGAGACACGCTGAGGGGTTTTTTGTAGAGATAGAAGAGGTGAAAGAAGTTCAGGATGAATCACCTACACCTGCAACTGCAGATGACTCTCAAGGAAACATAATTAACGCATATACAATGTTTCAGACCTTCAAGCGTCTCTTTGCAGATCTCATTTTGAGCTATCAAGAACTGGAAAAAAGCCAATCTTTATTCAAGAATATGTCTCATGAAGTTGCATTTGATGTGATAGCAATTGAACTAGGATTCGTGTATGATCTGCTGTACACCAAGGCAACAGTAATTTACACTGCTTGGGGTATTGTTCGCCGCATTGTCACTTTCTCTCTCACCTGTATTGTGCTGGTAATTTTCTCTTTTGATGACATGCGGAAGTATAAAATGGTTGACATTGTTATAACTTTCCTGTTACTTGGAGGAGCTATTTTGCTAGAGATTTATGCAGCATTTGTACTGGTTTCCTCAGACCAGACTAAGCGTTGGCTGATTAAGCACAAGCAAACTAGAATTTCACAAGCCATCAGTCGTATAGAACTGGTTAATCTACCTAGATGGTCTGGACGTATGGCGCAGTACAATCTACTAAGCCTCTGCCTCAATGAAAAACCTGGCCTTAGACTATTGGAAAAGCACCGTTATAAATCTGAAGAAACATTGGAAGTAGATTTAAGAGAGCTGATTTTTAAACATGTAAAAGGGAAATTTGATCTAATGGAAACAAAGGGAGGTCATGCTTATCTTAGAGACTTGTGCAGCCAAAGAGGAAAGAGCTTACTTGAAAAATAGAAGCCAAAGATTCAAGATAACCTTGGGTGGCATGTACTTGAGTGGAGTGTTAGTCACGAATTCGACCAAAGCATCCTTATCTGGCACATTGCTACAGAACTCTGCTGCGTCACAGACAAAGAGATCTACACAGAAAAAAAGATAAATGATTTAGTTGCTACACAGCGCATCTCAAGATACATGCTGTATCTCCTTGCTGTCTATCCTACCATGTTACCGATAGGAATTGGGCTTATCGGGCTCCGAAACACCCGTGCTGAAGCCGAGAAGTTTTTTGAAGAGCGATTGTCCACTTCTGTTGCGAGGGAAAACTTAATAAACGTAGCTTGTGAGATGTTGCTTCAAGTGATCACTTCTGATGCAGGGAACAACTTGAGTGAGATGTTGCTCCACGAGAAAACTCATGTCGATCCCATCAAAGTGAAAGGGGATAGAAGCAAATCCGTTTTGTTTAATGGGTGCAGACTGGCATCAGAATTGAATAAAATAACTGATAGGAAGGTTAAATGGGAGGTGATAAGAGATGTGTGGCTGGAGATGCTAACATTTGCCGCAAATAAGTGTAGAGGGAGGCAGCATGCTTATCAGTTGAGACGAGGTGGAGAGCTCCTAACTCATGTTTGGCTTCTTATGGCACATTTTGGCATGAATGAGGAGTTCGAGACACATGAACGCGAATTTGTACTTACTGCAATATAGCAACAGATCAATCTCCCATTTGATTCTGATCAGTTATTCCCAGTTGGTCCAATTCAATGTAATTTGCTTGTACTTTTCTTATTTCTAGTTACATCAATATTATGTATTTTGCTCTGTTCACTAGCGTTTTTCTTAATCCCCTTGAGGAGGGATAAGATAATGGCTGTTGTTAACTGTCAAGGAAGTTCTTGTTTAACAAGATTCTGAAAGTTTGATTACACTGACAGAAGCTTGCACATCAATTCCATCACAAGCAGCATTATCAACTTTCTCTATGATTCTAGTTAAGAATCTTAGAAGGAAGCATGAGAATGAGACAAGTCCAACAACTGCTATAGTTTAAGCTAGTAATTATCGTAGTTTTATCCATTTTGTTCCCATTTTTCGGCAAACAAACAGAGTTTTGGTCATTGGACAAGAACAGGAACATTGTTCAGGAAACTGTTATTCTTTTAGCAATGCCAAGCATTCCCTTGGTCCAGGAAACTTCTACCGTAAGATTAAAAATTTTGATCTTATAACGTGATTGAATAATAACCGTTAAATATATAAAAATTAAATAAATTATTAATTATTTTCTAATTATAAAATAATTAATTATCTATTAACTTAATTTTAATTAATTAATATTAAATATTATTTATTAAATAAAGTAAAAAGAGTTTTAAAACTGCTAAGATTCTTCTTCTTTTGATTATTATTTTTTTAATGTTTAATTTTTTTTTCCTCTAACTTTTTCGTTCTTTTATGTTTTGTTTCTTTACTGCCTTCTAGTGTTTTTTATCAGCTTTTTTTTTTTTTTTTTTTAGGTTTTTGGGATTCTATATATTATTCTAAACCAAAAAAATAATTCTAAATAGATAAATAAGTGTTTAACATAAAAAGGTAAAAATAATTGTAAAATTTATATAATCTATTGTAAAATATGTTAAAAGCATCATAATGTAAAAAGATGAGAACATTCGTAAAATTGATGTCATTTGACTTAAAATAAGTTAGAAGTACTGTAACATGAACACTCTAACAAAAAGTTTTGATAATTTTAAACGTAATAAATAATAATAACAATAATAAAAAGTTATTATTGTAGCATAATAATTAAGTTGGTAATATAAAAAATTATTATTATAAATAAAAATAATTTTAAATAAAAAAGAGTTACCATAAAACAGTGAGAATAATAATAAAATTAATATTATTTAACGTAAAAGAGTTAGAAATATCATGATACCTTAGAAAAATTATAATAATTTTAAATGTAATGAAAAATAACTGTAAACACTCACTTTTATCCAAGTCATTTGAAATTGTTTTTAGCCCTGAATTCAGGTGGACTTTGAACTATTCCATTAATTGGTGGACTTGTTTATGATTTGGGCCTTTTAAATCAAAAGCCAATGAGTTAATTTTGGTTTGGTTTAGTTTTTCTTGTTATTATTGGATTTTAGAATATAAATAAGATAAATGAAACTAAAAATTTAAGGATAAATCTCAAGTGAAGGTGGGTTTAAATTAACGTATGATTGAAATAAAGTTTTTATCAGATAAAATTTTTGAAGCAATTTATATCTCATTCAATATTTGTAATGCCCATAATCCTACATTGGAACAATATGTGGATATAGTATGATATATATGTAAATATCTAAACCTAAAACTTGTAAGGTGCTTTTTGTGGGACAAAACTGTAAAACCTTCAGATCAAAGTAGATAATATCTCATAGGTTAGATGTGGATCTCCACAAATGGTATTGGAGCGATCACTAGTCAGATAAGAGCTAAGTGTTACTCGGTGGGAGGCATCTTTAGAATCTTACAGGAACTAAGTGTTACATGGTGGAAGCCACCTTTGAAATCCTAACGTTTACTGTGATCCTGTGATTTGTGTGTACTTTATGTTGGGCTTATCCAACGTTTGGTGTGATTCAATAGATTTGTGTGTTTTGTGTTCTCGTCAAGCTTTAATGGAGAGAGTTTATAATGCCCTTAATCCCACATTAAATAATATGTGGATATGATATGATATATATCTAAACCCAAAATTTGTAAGGTACTCTCTGTGAGTTAAAATCTTTAGGTCAAAGCAAACAATATCTCACAAGTTAAGTACAGGTTTCCACAAATACCTTCACCCAACTTGAAAAGTATTATCGGCTTTAACTTGAAGGTCTCATAGTTTTATTCCACAAAAGGCCTTTCATAAGTTTTGGGTTTAGATCTCTACATATATATCATGTCATATTCACACATTCTTTTAATATGGGATTGGAGGCATTACAATCTCCCTACCTTTTAAAGCTTGATGTTTTTTTCAAGTTAAGTCTAATTATAGGACCAAAATCACATCAAATATTAGGATTCTAAAGGTAGCTCCCTACCATGTAACATTTAGTAACTCCCATTAAATAACACTTAGTTTTCACTGATTGGTAAACGCTCTGTATTATTTATGGAGATTCATACCTAACCTGAGAGTTATTATCCACTTTGATATGAAAGTCTCATGGTTTTGTCCCACAAAGGTGCCTCACAAGTTTTAGGTTTAAATATCTCAAAATATATCATACTATATCCACACATTCTTCTAATGTGGGATTGGAGATGTTACAATTTGTAGAGATCTATACCTAACTTACGAGCTATTATTCGTTTTGATCCAAAAATCTCATAGTTTTATCCCATAAAAGGTGTCTCACAAGTTTTGGGTTTAGATCTCTACATATATATCATAATATATTCACACATTCTTCTAATATGGGATTAGGGACATTACAATCTCTCCACCTTTAAAGTTTGACATTCTTGTCAAGTCGAGTTTAACCATAGGATCAAGATCACACTAAACATTGGGATTCTAAAGGTGGCTCTCCATTGTATAGCACTTAGTGACTCTTACAATCCTATCATGTAGCACTTAGTTCCCACCAATTGGTAACCTGGCTTTGATATAATTTATGAAAACCCTCACCTAACTTGCAAGGTATTGTCCATTTTGATCTAAAGGTTTCAAAATTTTGTTTCATAAAAGGCACCTTATAATTTTTAAGTTTAGATATTTACATATATATCATACCATATCTACACATTCTTTCAATATGAGATTAGGCGCGTTACAAGATCTATATAAACATACTCAATTAAGCACAAAAGGGACAACAATTACACCAAAAAAATTAAAGTGAACAAAGTGAAAAACATAAACACAATAGGGAAAAATAAAAAACAAATAGAGAAAAAATATAGAGAGAAAAAAACATTGGCAACCAATTCTAACTGAGAAAACCTAACAACTAATAGTTAGTTCCAAGTTCACTAGCCACTATCACCACTCTATTGCCTCAATTGAAATCACTTTATCACAGCCGCACATTCAACTCCACCAATTCACCATCGCCAATACCAATTCCATTGCCATTCCTACAACAGAGACCTAGCTAGCAAAATCCACCATTGCTAGCACAATCTCCACTAAGTCTACCATAACCCCTACCTTAATTGTCCAACCTACTATCAATAACTAGACCATCAGTAATCAAACACCCAAATTTTGCCTAGCAACAAAGACTTTACACCTTATTTATTAAGATCATTAGCAAACTTGAAACACCAACCATAATCTAAGGAGCAATAATTCATAGATTCATTCCCAGCACCATAGAGCCTCCATTTATCCCTATTCCTATTAGCCTATATTCCACCTCAAAATCCATCAGCCAAACTTGCCAGAACCTATGTTCAATATAAGCTAAGCTTACCAACTTGATATCTACACAATAGAAAAAAAATAGCAATTCAATATAAGAAAACAGAAAAAAAAAGACTTTCTTTTATGTTTTTGGTTTAAAAATTTTTAAAAAATTTGAGCCCTTAAATTTCTTAAAAAGAAGATCCGATGGAGAAGAGAAACATACTCAAATTTGAATATCATCGAAGCGTTGAAGAAGGAAAATAAAACCATAACTTTGAGTTCAAATTGATGAAAATCTAGTAAGTTTTTTGAGAAACTAATTCAAAAATGTAAAATAGGAGACTGAGTGAACTTTTTCATGAAATTTGGAGACCAACTGATAGCAATTAGGTGGCAGCGATGATGGTGGTTGGTCACTAGTTTCTAGGAAAAGTTTGAAGGCTAGCTCATTTGTAAAAAGAGAGGGAGAGAATAGATAGTTAGAGAAAGAGAATGGAAATCTAAAAACCAAAAATTGAAAAGGAAAAGAAAATTTTAGCTTTTATAGCCAAGCTAAAATGTAATTTTTTATTTTTAAACCCAAGATCCAACCAAATCTGACTTGTTTGTTGAAAGTGGATTCTTTGTTGAGTTGATCAAGTCGAGTTGTCTTAGCTGTTAAGCCGATCCATCAAGTCGCATTTTGTTTCTATAGTTAAGCCACTTTTTCAGCCGCTAAGTCAAGCTATTTTTTTAGGTATATTTTTATTTTATATTGTGTTTATTTGTTTATCTTTTATTTTATTTTATTTTAATTTGTTTCTTTGTTTTATTTATTTGTTTATTTGTAAATATTTTTTCAAATAAAACTTTTTTAAACAAGTAAAATAAATAAATCTTACTAACATATTGGAAGGCTTATAATTTTTTAAAAATAAAATTTTACCAACATATTAAAAAATTTTATTAATTTTTGAAAAAAATTAAAGTTTCAAAAATGAAATAATTTTAAAGAAAATCTTACATAGAAAATCTTTTCAACATATTAGAAGATATTTCTGAAAATAAATTTTTTTATCATAAATAGAATTTTAAATCTTTGATGATGAAATTACAAAAAGTGTTACAAATAACAATTTCTATGTAAATTTTGAGGTAAGAAATTCTTTCAAAATTTTACAACATATTAGAGAATTTAGAAAATATTTTCAATATCAAGATTCTCACAAAAATTTCAAAAATAAAAGTTTTTATAAAAATTAAATGAATTCGATAATGAAACATTTTTAAAGTATGACAACTAATCTCTTTGAATAATTTTGAGGTGAGAAAA